CCCTCCCTCCCTCCCTCCCTCCCTCTCTTCCTTCCTTCGTTCCTTCCTTCCTTCCTTCCTTCCTTCCTTCCTTCCTTCCTTCCCCTTTTCTATTTCTGTTTTCTCTTCCTTTTCTTTCTATGTAGTACTTGGGATTGAAGTCAGAATCTTGGTACTGTCCTTCAGCTCAAGGCTGAAGTTTTACCACTTGAGCCACATCTCCACATCTAGGTGTTTTTTTTTTTTTTTTTTGGTGGTTAATTGAAAATAAGAGTCTCATGGACTTTCTTGCTTGGGCTGTCTTTGACCAGGATCTTCATATCTCAGCCTCCTGAGTGGTTAGGGTTATTGGCATGAGCCGTCAGTATCTGGCCTCTGTTCCAGTTTCTAATTTATTATACAACTAGTTCATTTTTCTTTGAGGTATTTTGAGATCTATCTTTTTAATTCTTTGCTCCTGCTTTCCCCTCACACAATGAGGGTTAAGTGGCTGGATTGGGCCAAGTGGTGGTGTTTCTGTGTGCCCTGGCCAGCCGAGGGCCCACCGCCTCCAGCAGCGGTAAGCTATGGGTTAGGAGCTGCTCCCTGGATACCACCCCCGGTGTCTTTGCTATACAAAGACTTTCATTTAACTTCTTTGTACCAGGCAAAAAAAGATTCTGGACCAAAAATGGTGGTATTTTGGTATTGTATGTATCTTACAAACCAGCAAAAGGCTTCAAAAGTTTTTTTTACAATTTTATCTTGGGGGTTTCCTTTTGAAGTCAGTGTGGAATTTTACCTTGGGGTGGATTTCTCGTGTTTCTTCGTCGTGTGTGTTTCGTTGCGTAATGAGCATTGGAGGGTGGGATGAGAAAGCAGGCTGAATCCTGCGGAAGAAAGCCTGCCAGACATTGGTGGAGGTGCAGATGTTTTTGTTGCGATTGCTTAAATGCTGAAAGAGAGCGGGCAACTTAGGAAATCTTGCATGAGTAGAACTTCAGATCGGGTATCTGTCATACGTGCTGAGCATTTTCAAGTAAGCTCAGGGCCTGAAGTGCCTTTGAGTTTTCTTTCTGTAGGGTTCAAGGGAGCCTATTCATCGTTAATTAAAACAAAACAAAAAACAGAACTATGTTGAGTGCATCCTTTTTATTGGTAAATGCATGTGGTATTTTCTTTGTAATTGTATTTCCTTCATGTTTTCTGGGACCTGCTGTGTGCTGGGAGGCTCTGTGTTAGATGCTAGGACTAGCAAAAACCATGGCAGCACCTCCTTGTGTGGGACAGGTGCTGAGAAATAAGACCTATGCTGGTAGGTAGGATTTATGGGCCTAGATGGTTCTGTGTGAAATGGCATTGAAGAGGGGACAGTTA